ATCATGTAGTAATGGAGCTATAAAAAAGAATGAGGATAATCTCTATCAACTGATACAGAGTATAGTGTTAAGGTAAAAAAAATAAAGCTCAAGAGTATAGTATATTACCTTTTATATAAGAAAGAAGGGAGATTTATTGGAAGCTGGGATTTCAGTGTATGTTTGGGTTCATATGCATACATATATTTCCTATCTCTGTGCACTGACAGGAACTAGAAGTAATAATATACCAGCAGTAATAATTAAATCCAGCATCCAGTTTTTTATTTCTAAGTAAGATTCTCTAATACAAGGATCCAGGGTGCTCTTTGGAGTAGTGGTTGATTTCAGAACTAAGACAGGGAAAATACTAAAGGTGCCTGGAACACCTTGAGGTGTGCCAGATAACAAAGTGCTTCTTTTTTTTTAAAGAAAGGAAAATATTATTCAAAGAACTGGGAGCCAACCTGAAGCAGTTCCAAATGGCGGAAGCTGGATCAACTGAAATAAAATATTATTATTGGGTTATAATATGTAGAACAAAGTAATCACAATTCTTTTCTATATAAATTAAAAAATGTGGAAACAGGGACATTTCTTCCTTAACCTCTATTCCTTTGTATCTATGGATTCCATATGTACAGATTCAGTAATGTATCAAGAAACACTTATTAGTTAGGCCTGTGATGATTGTATCTGTATTGAACATGTGCACACTTTTTTCTTATTACTTCCTAAAATATACAGTATAATGATTATTTACATAGCAGTTATATTGCACTAAGTGTTATAAGTATAGAGATGATTTATAGTATAAGGGAGGATATATGTAGAATGCAAATATTATGCCATTTTATATAAGGAATTTGAACATCCCTAGATTTTGGTAAGGGGAGGGTCCTGGAAGCTATTATTCATGAATTACATTGGGATGACTATAGTATAAGTCCCGTTAATAATGTAGAAGGATTGAAGGAAACAGAAAATTGGCATTAGCTAAGCAGTAATAATTGTTGTAGAGAAGATCCAACAATGAATGGTAAAATTAGTGAATGAAAATTGTGGAGAAATAAAATTTGTATAGATTTTAAGTATACCCCAAGATTTTTATTAACCACAAAGAGAAAGTAATTTTATGGGGTCAAACCTGCCAGAATTTACCTTGATTGATGGTTAAAGTGAACGTTGAAATTAGGAGACACGCTGACATTATGAAACCCATAATACGATGCACTGAAAAGGACACATCATTTGTGGGTATCCATGCCAAAAATTAATAATCCTTGTTCAGCCAGAAAACATCAGCCAAACCCAAATGAGACATTTGACAGTACTGATCAGTATTCTTCAGAAAAGTTAAGGTCATAAATTCAAGATATGGAAAGAGTGAACCATGACAACTAAAGTAATGTGGAATTTTTTATGTCTATTTTTACCCAATAGAATCTATTTCTATGTGCTCTCTGAACATTTAAGGCATGTTTTAAAATGTCTTATTTAAATATCTCTGTTTCAGATTATTCCATTATTTGTGTGTCGCTTTGGATAGGAATTCTACTCATGTGCCCCTTTAAACATTGTGACTTTGAGTCATCCTCTCCCCAGTTTTAAAAACTCTATCTTTCACTTTTAGACTCAGCTCTATATTAAAACAATTTTGTTTTGTTCTTGTATTTTAACTATCATGCTTTGTTTGAAGTGGAAAAAGTGACTACATGCATCATTTAAAAGTACTTAGTATATTAATGAGAACCCTCTCTCCTATTTCTATTCCATTTAGGAACAACAGGATGATTGCTTCCAATATATTTCAGGGACTAAAATAAAACTCCTCACTTTCCTAATATTTGTCTTATAGTTGCAATATATATATTTTCTGTTTGCTTGTTGCTTACAAGTATATGATTGTTGAGGGCAGGTTTTTCAGTCTGCCTTCATAATAGTGATCACTTATAAATTTATTTGAAATAGTTTAGAATTTAAGTGAGGACAGAAAAGAATAGAAACTTTTCCCTTTCCACTTCACCGTCTTGGAAGCCAAAGGGAGGAAAAGGCAGACAAGATGCCATGAAAGGAATATATACTTATAGGGGACTGGAATTTTAAAGCTGCTGAAAAGAAATCTTCCTCCTTCCCATCCTAAAATTCACTCATTGTCCAGGTTAGAATTCTGTTGAGTCGTCTTCCTTTTTTCAAAAACTCTTCAATGTCTTTAGGGAACATGTATGTTGTGGTTGTAGTTTTAAAAAAACAACACTGGACTCCAGTGCCATTCAGAATATGTGACTGCCTGGGGATAATGTAAAATTAGGCAAACAGATCTGTAATGTTCCTTAAATAGTTTTTCAATTTCATCTATACCAAAATTAAGTATAATGCCCAGAGATAAAAGAAAATAAGCTCAATAGTAAGGATTTAGAAGGCAGGAAAGGTTGTGAAGTAATAGTCATTTAAATCATATGACACAAGCAAGAGGAAGACCTAAAAATAATTTGGTCAGAAAACACAGGAATCAGGTATTTATCAACCTATTGTGAGAGAAGTTTTTTGGTAAGTATTAAATTGATCCGAGAACTTAATGTGATAGTACTGAAAAATTATTTGGTAAGCACTGCGTTCTTAGATTTAAAAGTACAACTTATCTTTTTTTTTTTTTTTTTTTTTTACAACTCATCTTTAAATTCAACAGTTGTTCTTCTATGGTAGGTGCTTATGAAACTACTCTAAATTGTATTTCTACTGGAAAAACAAAAGACTTAAAAGCAACATCTACCTGATAGCAGCAGAGTTCAGTAATAAAAACATTATATCCTCCAAATGAAATAGTTGATACTTGACCAGTTGAAACTTTACTGTGATTGGTAAAACTTAGTTTCAGTTGTGCTTTTAGTATTCATGGTTTTATGATTTTCAGTTTTCTTAGATGATTGTTTTTATTGTTTATTTTCTCCACAGAAATTAACAATACCATATCTTTGAAAGATTTGCAAATACTATTTTTATATGAATTTAAACCAGGACATAATGCAGCCATGGCAAGCAGACACATTAGTTCTGTCTTTGGAGAAGGCTCTGTTAGTCAAAGGACTATTCGGTGGTGGTTTGAAAAATTTCGATCTAGGAATCGGAGTGTGAAAAATGAGCCTCGAGGGAGACCTAAATCTGTGTTAAATGAAGATTGGTTGAGAGCCCTGGTGGAAGCTAACCCCAAAAGAGCAATTCGAGGCCTTGCAGCAGACTTAGGAGTTTCTGCTACAACAATTTCTCGACACCTGGCTGCAATAGGAAAGGTGAAAAAACTGGACAAGTGGTTAGGTACCACACCAGTTGATGGATGATCATAAAACTAAGATGTTTAGAGATTTGTCCATACCTTAAAATTTGAAAGAGCAGATAGCTCTTTTAGAGAAGATCATAAACTTTGACAAAAAAAAGAAATTGAAAGTGATGTGGTCAATGATTGGATGTTGATAGAGTTCCCAAATGTGTTAAAACCATAACTGTAATTAAAAAAAAATGCCATCGTAACCGAATGGTGGTTTGCAGAAAAGTTATTTCATTACTGCCTTTTTTTTTTTGTTTAAAGATTTATTTATAAATGCATGGAGGAACTGGGGTACAGGCCAGAGGTGCAGTGGGTAAGAGGATTCATCAGAGACAGAGTGGGGAGCAGAATAGGCAGACTGACTGAAATACACTGCTAAGGGGAGTAGCAGGCGAGACAGGAGAGGTCTGCTGTGCCATGTCGGTAGCTTCCTGGCTGGCCGGGGATCGAACTCGTGCTGCAGTGGGTGCAGACAGCTTCATAGTGCTGTGCTTAACTCCTTGCGCCACCAGGGAGGCCCTGATTACTGCTTTTTTAACCCAGGTAAATCTCAAACATTGTCAAAAAATTGAAATTATATATGAAAATTGTTCAAAAAGCTCTGCATTGGTTAGCAGACATTTGACCACAGACATCACATGCTGCCAAGTTAACTGAATTAGCCTTAGAAATTCTGCCATATTCATCATTCTCACCTGACCCTTTTTTTTCCAACAGATTATCACCTTTTTTTAATCATTTGGAATTCTAAGAAATAGAGCATTCTTCAAGTGAGAGGCAGTGTTTAGAGGACTTAATAATTTTAACTATGCTGAATGTTATAAATATGGTATATATCATTTAGTATTCAGGGAAATTACCATTCAAGGAAAGCTGTCAAGGCAACAATGCATATTTTGGGTGATCAAAACTTTTTTCAAGAATATAACATTTTCACTTTGACCAACAAAAAGGTAATTTCATGTAGTTCAACCTGATACCTCCTGAGTCTGGCAGAACATGAAGACTGAAAGGGAACTGCCATGTCAGATGTTGGGAAATTACAAGCTGCTCCTGATTTTGGGCCTTCGTCAATGGAGGATTGTCACAACTCAGTGTGTGTATGTGTGTGTAAAAGATGCTAAGGGGCGAGCCATGCAAAGATCTGGGTAAAGAGGGTTCTAGGAAAATGAGCAACCTCATCAAAGGCTCAGAAAAAAAAATGCTAAAAAAAAAGCATGTTTCTAACACCAAAAGCCATGCACACAGTAGACATAGCTCAATGATGACTTTGGATAATACTGATTCTGTCACGCAGAGCCAATCCCTTCTTTCATGTTTTCCATTCCATTTATATATTTAAAAATTTAGGTGGCCTATCAGCGATAAAAATTAATGACCTTTTCATGATTTTATGGCTAGATTGCAGTTTATTATGGCATTCAGGGATTAAGTAGGAGTAAAGATACTGGGATGATCCTCTTCCTGCCTCCTTCTGACAGCCTGTTGTGTCTATTCCATGAAGGAGAGGAGAGAGAAGTAATCCTAGAAGGTAAGAAGTGAAAGACATCCTGGAATGGATCTTACCTGGAAGCTTGAGGGGCAGGGGGAGAGGAGTGAGAAAGTAAGGGAGTGGTGGAGGGAGATGGACTAGAAATTCCCTAAAGAATTGACCTTGAACCTAAGGATTAAGGAATATGAGATGCTTACTTCAAATGAAAAAAAAAAAAAAAAAAGTCTTCTCCTTGGGACACAAGCAACTCTGTAACATGACACAAGCCTTAGTGAGGAGGGCGTAGGATGCTTCTAGCCTCATTTACTCCCTTGGCTGGATGTCCTCGTCTTGCTTATTTTACTGCTCCATCTTTCGGTTTGTCAAGGAATTTCCCCAGCCTTTCTGTGGACTCTCCTAAAACAGTGAAATTTTGGACTTAGTTCAGATTGACAGGGTGAGAACGCTAAAACTAGAAGTGTAGGAAGGACTATATTTCAAAGGCATTGGCTTGGCCATTGTGAAAGAAAGTAGCGTTGTATGGTTTCTTAGTGTGATGATATGCTGTTTTATGGCATCCCTCCAAGTCTCAGACCCTTTGCCAGACTTTTGGAGCTGGACGTCAAACTTTGGTCTGAAACAGAAAGTGAATATCCTTACAAATAAGTAGTTTGGGGGTAGGTAGAAAACTCATATAGGAGCAGTGAAAGGAGCCAGGAAAAGGAGCAGATCTAGGATATTGAACTGGTCTAGTGATCTTCCCTACTTATAAACCCAAATACCAGAAATAGGCTCTGTGGTTCTTATGAGCACAGGGGTCCAGCTGTCACTGAAAATTGGTATAACTTTACTGATTTCTGGTAATCAATGAACTAGTCATTCTTTTCACTTAAGCCATTTTAAGTTGGGTTTTCTGTTTTGGCTAAAGAAAGATTCATGACTGATACAATCCCTGAGCTCATGATATCACCCTGCAGGGTTTGAGAGTTAATGTGATGGACAGGTGCAAACTAGATACCCAATAAGTACTAGTGAATGCTATGAGAGGAAAAAATAGAGAAGGCAGAGAAGTCCTTGGGCACCTCTGGAAGCCCCACTGTGCCCAGGGCAGCCTGTGGGCTGAGTGCAGTGTGCAGGGAGACTGGGGCCTGGCTTGTACTTACAGCAGGGGTGTCCAGCTGTAAAAGAACACTGGCTTCTGAAGTTACTCTGAGCCTGTGGCCTTTCTGCAGTGATACTTTCTGAACTAGTGCTTTATTGGCCAGCTGGGAAGAAGAAATCTGCTTTTGTGAAGATAATTTAAGATGTATGACTTTTAAAATTTCTTAATTAATTTATGAATCCCTAGGTTTACTATAAAAAATAAATTTTATTTGAAGATATACTTGTAAGTCATGAAGAAAGTAGACCTTAAATGTTCTTACCACAAAAAATAATAAAAGTGACGTGATGGCCAAGTTAGCTAACACTGTGGTGCATTTGTATTACATGAAGATAATCAGATCAACACATTGTACACCTTAAACTTATACAATGTTATATGTCAAATATATCTCAAAGCTAAGAAAAAAACAAGGGGGGGAGAATGCTTTTAGGACAAAAATTAAGCTACTCAGCTTCTTTGTCTTTATTTTGGTAATTATTTGTATTTTTTGAAAAAATCAGATTTTTTGGGAAATGTTGAGTGTAAATGTTATAAACAGAATCAACACAAAATGATTACATTTTCATTGTGATAATCATCTCACTTCCATGGAAAAGTAGAACTGCAGTTCTAAGTTTACACCTTTAACTTAGGAGCTATGTTGGATTTTCAAGAAAAATGAGAAATTTTATATACACAAAGACCTGCCAAGCATTCCAATGCTCTCATTCCCATTGCCCTAAAAGTTTTAAAGACTTCTTGGTAGAAACTGGTTAGTCCATCCCTCCACTTCCCCTGCAGTTTGCTGAGTATTAATTACAAAAAGGAAATAAAAAATGGTGTTGAAAAGCCATTTGGTTCATCAGGTACATAATGTCTATTTTTAAAGTTCAGTCCAGTCTGTTTGCTTTTTGTTAGGCTAGAACTCCTACAGTCACTTTAAAGATCTTAAGCAAAGTTAGTGAAAAGTAGATTCTTTCAGCACCTGTCCTCAGAACTATTGAGTTTTTCTCTTTATCTTCAGCCACAATAGCCTCATTTCACTTCCTTTGACCTCAGCTAACTTGCCCATGGTGTTCTTTGTATCTGAATTATTTGCTGCTCCACTTCTCATTAACTACTCTTCATTTACATTTCTTGTAGGAAATCTTCCCCAATTGCCCCACTCCACCTTAGATCAGTTCCCCCTGCCAATGACCTTAGAGCACTCCTGTGGTTCCCTTGAAATTGTTCATAGTAGTTGTATATTTGTGTGATAGTATTTATTTTCTCTGCTAGATTATAAAATTCACAATAGGTCTTTTGTCTGTTTTGATCACAAGATCACACTTCTATCACAAGTACAAAGTCCAACACCTAGTATATACTTAGTAAATATTTGTTAAATGAGTAAGTGTTAGGGTAAATTTCATCCATTTTGTAGAAGACTTTTGATATCAGTGTAAATAGGAGTATTTTAATAGCAGATGATTGAAAAGGAACAGTGGCTTGAATAATAACTGTTTTCCATAACTTATAAATTTTTTCATACTTATAAAAATACCAGAATTTTACAGTGACTACCTACATATCAACCACCTAGATTGAACCATTAATATTTTACTATACTTGCTTTGTTACTTATCTAGCCACATGATCATTTTTTGTTTTTTTGGATGCTTTTCAATGTAAGTTGCAGGCATTAGCATAATTTACCCTAAATATTTTGCATACATGCCATTATATAGAATTCAATATCTGCTTAACCTTTTTATTGAGGTAAAATTTTAATTCAATAAAATGCCCAAATCTTAAGTGTACTAACATTGAGTATATTTTGACATATTCAAATAGTTCCGTAACACAAACCTCTGTTAAGATACTATTACCATCAGTGCCCTCATACCCCGTTGTATTTTATCCCTAGCCATACTCCCACAAGAGACAAACACTGCTCTCAGTTTTTTCTACCATAGCAAAGTGTTACCTGTCTAGAGCTGCATATAAATGGAATCATACAATAGACTATGTCCTTTTTTATGTAAGTCATCTTTTACTGTTTTTGAGATTCATCCATTTTGTTGCATGTATCAACTTGTGCCTTAAATAAGGTGATTAATATGCCATTAAGTGACTATACCACAATTAGTTTTTCCACTTAACTATTTGATAGAGCTTTGTGTGTTTTTTCCCCAAGTTTGGGGCTATTATAAATAAAACATGAATGTTCTTGTACAAATATTTTTGTGGTCTTCATTTCTCTTGGATAAATAGCTAGGATTGGAATTACTGGGTCATAGATTATGTGTGTATTTGTTTTTCTAAACCTTTTTCCAATGTGATTATACCATTTATAACTCCTCTCACTAATATTTGATGTTACTAGTCTTTCTAATTTTATGACTGTTGGTTTCATAGCATAAGGGCTCAAGTGAGGCAAGCTAATCAACACTGTTGTAAGGGACCCATGCAGTTTAGCACTCTGCTCATCATTCTTAGTGGATGAACCACAATCTTACACATGGCAACTGAGGTAACAGTCTCTGGAATGGCTTCCAATGCTGCTTGGTTATTTTTGCCTCTCATTGAGTATTGGTTAAATTTAGTGAGTTGATTCTAATAGGATATAAAAGTTATGGGTAGCCACTTCTGAGATTAAATTATAAAAGAATGTAGTTTCTGTCTTCTGTCTTCTCTCTTGCTCTTTCTTGGATCACTTATTCTAGGGGAAGCCAGTTGCCAAATTGTGTGGCAGCTTTGTGAAGAGTCCATGTGATGAGGAACTGGGGCCTGCCAAAAATCCCCCCCCCTAGCTGAGCACTCAGATAAGACTACAAAGCTATACATTAATTCATGATCCACAGAAACAGAGATAATGTTTGTTATTTTAAGCCATTAAGCTTTGGGGTAATTGGCTATACAGCAATAAACACTAAAACAATAACCCCTTTGTCTCATTTTCATAAGGTGGATGCAGTAGTTTCAGAGTTTCATGTTCATGTTCCAGACAGTAAGAAAAAAATGTGAAAAGACTTTTTTTTACATGAATCTATCCATTTTTATCAGAAAGCAAAACTTTTCCAAAAATTCCAATCTGCAGCAGACTTTGGTTTATATCTTACTAACCAGAGGTAACACCACATGGCAGTTCTTCATTAGAAGGTGGCTAGAAGCAGTGACTAGAGAGTACGGGGTGTTTGGATGGAGTCTGCCTCAGCTGACAATGTCTGCCACATTAACCATTTTTTAAAAAGCCACATTGTTAAAGATCTCTTCTTTAATACCCTCCCCAGACAACTGGACTTTTTTTGGGGGGGGAGGATTTCTAGAAAAAGAACCTATTCCAATGAAACTTTTAGAAAATTCCTCAGAATCTGAATAGCAGGGCCTGTGTTCTGATTCATGACCAGTATCAATTATCTCAGGGGGAAAATGAGTACTGTCTTCCTCTTGTTACTTCTAATTCCTCCAATCCTTTGCAGCAGGCACTTGAGAGCCATCCTGCTTATCTTCCTTTACCCCCAGCAAAATATCTTCTCAAGAGCCTTCATGGTTTTAAAATTCTGCCTTTCTCCCTTACTGTGCTTCCTGTCCCCCTGCCTCAGGTCTGATACCTGAGTTATTTTGCTGGGCCAATCATTTTCAAATCTAATCCTGTTAGTACTCCTCTACTAAAAACCTAGATTCACCCACTGCCCTCAGGATGAAGCCTAGATTTCATCCCGTGGTTGTAAAAACTCTGTAGAGTTGGATATGGCCCCCCTCTCCAGCCTTAACACTGTACCTTGCATTTAGTGTACCCACAACACCAAACTGCTGACTTCCCTGCCTTTGCTCACAAGGTCCTATTTGCCTGCTAGGTCTTCACCTCTGGGCAACTCCACCTGACATTCTTAGCTTTGGAGGCAGCTCTAATAGAAAGCCTTCTAGGATTGCCAACTCACCAGTGGGTTCGATGGGTTCAGTAGTGTACAAGCCTTTTTCCTTTTTTGTTGAAAGTGTCCATACTACAATAGAATTGAAAACTATGCCTCTTATCGCTGGAACTTTTACAGTTTCTTTATATACAAGCAAAGTATATTTTTGTATAAAAAATAAGGTGTCCTGTACCTTGTTTTTCCAATTAATGCTATTTTGGAGATCATCTCATTTGGTATCTATCTTTTTCCCCCCAATACAATCTTTTTCCCCCAATACAAGCTATTGTTTTCCTCTGACAAGTAGTTCTGCAAAGTGCTACATATTTGCACAAATGGATCTGAGCAGAGTGAATATCTGGAAATTTTTAGGGGTGGGAATTCTTGGTCAAAGGTTAGGGTGATTTTAAATTTTTATACAATGCTGTAAAGAGTCAATCTGTTCTTCCCATCGCTGAAATCAAGTGGTAAGCCTTCTACACCACTGCCGGGTTTTTTGAGGACGGGCACCTCCTCCTCGTCACATTGGCCAACGAATTTTGTATTTTGCAGTCCCGAATTTCGGGCTTGAGATACAGGCAGCGCATCACATTACATTTCCTCAACGATGAGACCTGCTCACGCTTACTGAAATTTATTAAATACCAGGATCTGGACTGTGCACTTTCCTTTTTCCCTCACTTTCTCTTCCCCTGGGAGGGGGCGTGCCCAACGGCGCGGCCCGCCTGCCCGCGCACTCGTTGGCCGGGTTCGACGCCCGTTACCGCCGAGTCCCGCCCAGGCCACGCCCCCGGGCAGCCCGCGGGCGGGAGAGGGCGCGCCCATTGTCAGGCCGCGCCCGCGGACGGGCTCCTCGCGGGAGAGTCGGGCGCGCGCGGGCCGGCGGGGCGCGGGCCGCGAGGTGCCGTGGGAGCCGCGCCCGCACGCGAGGCCCGCGCCGGCCGCCCGCGCACGCCGCGCCCCGCCCCCTCGCCCCGGCGCGCAGGCTCCGCCGGGCTCACGCACGCGCGCGCGCTCCCCAGCGCCTCGGTCTGGCCGGCGGGACGGGGACCGGGACGGGGCGGGCGGGCGGAGGCCGGGCGGCTGAGGCGCCAGGGGAGGGGCTCGGGCCGCCGCCGCCGCCGCGGAGAGAGGAGCATGTCCGCAACTCGAGCCAAGAAAGTGAAGATGGCCACCAAATCCTGCCCCGAGTGCGACCAACAGGTGGGCGCCGGGGCCGGCTCGCGGGCGTGCGGGGCGGGCGGGGCTCGCGGCCGGGCGGGCGGCCGTTGCCCGTCGAGGCCGCCCGGCCGGGGTCCCGGCGGGCGGGCGGGCCCGGGTCGGCGGCCGCGGGGCGCCCCGGAAGCGGCCGGGCCGCGCCGAGGGGCGCCCCCCGGGCGGCGGGGAGCCGGGCGCGGGGCGGCCGGGCGGGAGGGGGCGTGCGCGGGGCGGCTGCGGGCGCGCCGTCCGGACTCTCCCCGCCCGGCCCGGCGGCTCCGGGGGCGGCGGCGGGAGCCCGAGCGCGGCGGCCCGAGTGGACGGCGCGGCCCGCGCAGCCCCCGGCCCCGACGGGCGCGCTGAGGTGCGGGGCCCGGAGTCCCGACCCGGGCCGGCCTCGGAGACCCCTCCCGCCCCGCCGGCTCGCTTTGTTCCCGCTCAGAGGCGTGCGGTGGACCCCCCGCCCCAAACTGGCCGACCTGGAGAATCCTTAAATGTGGCAAAAAGGCCCAAAATATAAAGGTTTTAAGTTTCTGTGAATTTTGAGATTCCCTCCCCCCCGATTATCTTTTTGCGTCAATAATAATCGTGAATCCTTTTCTTTATATGTATTTTTAATGGAATGTTATTGAATAACGCCCTCATTTAAGCCCTTCTGGGCGCTCCTAATGCGCCCTCCCCCACCCCCACCCCCCGCGGCGGTAATAAATTTCATGTTTCTTCTAATAGAGCTTTTAAAAAGCACATGTGAGGTTTCATGAATTTTGAATGCCCGCTTTCTACCTGGAATTAATAGTGTCATAGGTGTAATTTTGAAAAACCTCATTTTACTGTTCCTTAGTTTAAGCATGCATTATTCTCTAAGAGCATAATAACGTTCCTCTAAGTCTTATAATCCTATTGAGTCAAAACTCCCTCAATTAAAACCATTCGCATAAGGCCCTTATTTCATGCCAACACGCAGATGGGTGGTGTTTTTTTTTTTTTCCCTTTTCCACTGAGTGAATTTTTTCAAAATGACTACCTCCTGCCCTCCCTCCCCCCACTTTTTAAAAATCAAGACTAATTTGAAATGGCTGGAGACTTTAATGAGCTGATTTTAGTGCACTCTTAAAGCGCAGTCTCGTACGGTGATCAAATTTTGTAACAGAAAATGTTACATGTTTTATTCAGTATCTTTTATAAGCAGTGGTAGAAATGCTGATCAGAGGAAGATAGAGTACAGCTTGTTGATCTTCGGCGTTTATTGAGTTTGCAGTATGAAAACTATTTAATCCTGTTTCCCAAAGTAAAGTGTTAAACTTCCTTTCTTACAGTTAAACTGAATTTTTGAAATTCTGACAAAATTGTACTTTGCGGTATTAGTTTCTTTGCAGATTATTTCAATAGTTAAGTCATTTCCATTTGTTGCGATTAATTGTGCCTTAGTATAAAGTTTACATGGTATGCATTGTGCGTTCCAGTTTCTCTAGGGCACAAGTTATTGCAAATCCTGACCTTGTTTTACTTGGCATAAAGCAACCTTTTGGGGAAAATAACCTGTTTTTAATATCCTGGTTAAAGGAAAAGGAAAGGGTAGTAAACTTGTTGGAGTCCCTGTAAACAGTTCAACAAAATGTGACCAATATTAAATTTAGAAAGATTCACAACTCCAACTCCTCCTGCCGCCCCTCCCCCCAAACAAAATGCCATAGATTGGGTGACTCAAATAACAGTACTGTAATTTATTGTCTCTCAATTCTGGTAGCTCGAAGTCCAGGAGAGGCAGAGAGTGTCCCATTATGATGACCCCATTCTCAGGACCTCATTATCTCTTCTTCAGATACTATCATATTGGTAGTTTGGGCTTAAGCATTTGAATTAGGCAGGTGAGGACATACAATTCAGTTTTTAGCAAACTACTACATCATTTAAATGGTTTTTTTCCTCTAAATATTTCAGAGAATATAATTTACATGAGGACTAATAAAAACCTTTGGTTAATATTTTACTAAAAGTAATTGAATTGAAGAAAATAAGTCATTTTAGTTTTCTAATTGAGAGTATAGACTTTTTGTAGTTATGAAAAAAAAAATTTAGTCCAGAAAGCCACTTAAAATACTTCAGAATACTGTTGTGATTCTAAAATTCTAAAAAATAGACTGTAGATATATTTCATAAACATAAATGTGAAAAATTTAAAGTTTCAGGTGATTGACCCAATAGGTTGTGTAGTTTTTAAAACATGTAGAGATCAGCAGAGTATTAGATTTTCAATTGTTTATAATATCCCCTTTACATGAGTGTATTGAAAAGGTATCTAAACCATGATACTTTTTATTTTCAAGGGGGTTCACATGCACTACCTGAATTACTGAACCATTTTGTGTGTAAGATTCATGCAAGTTTTCTGTTTTGTGTATGTTTCTGTTTGTCATAGTTTTTAAATAAGTGCAGCTTTTTCTTTTTTCCCCATTTATAAGAAGTTGTGACAGATAACAAAATAGTCCACTTATAGGTAACTTTGATTCTCTTAGCAGCAAAGAATATAAATGTGTTCTCTATAGTGAAGCTATTTTTCAGCCTTTTTTAATTGGTTGAAACAATACAGGACCAGGATTTTGTTTCTTGCAGTTGTTTTTATCTGTCTTACTTGTAAAACATACAATATAAACATACTTTTCAAGGAATGAATTAATATACAATAACACCAGTAAACAAAATTTGACATTTTGTTTTTCTCTTTAAAATTCTGAAAGTGTGACATTTGAACTTTCATTACCGTTTTCTTTGATATAGCAACTAAAATTTGAAGGAAGTTTAGGTGGTTTAAAAATCCAAATTTTACCTTAATGACATTAATATGCTTCTTTTTATAGGATCTGGGTTGTGTGGTGGTTGGCTGGTGGGGGGAAGGGACTTTCCATTTTAAAAAGGACTTTAGGCTGAATTAGCTCAAGCACATGAATGTTTCTTGAGCATAAAACACTTTAATGGATAAATGTCAGCCTATCAATTGAATTAGTATTTGAATTAGCCAAATGTTCATTTCTTATCTGACTACAGCACTGTCTGTTAATAGTGGATATGGGTTGATGTAATTTTCTTGTTCATAAGAAGATCTAAATTTAAACTGAGTTTCAGTTACTGGATGAAAATGCTTGCTTTGCAGCACAGGGTATGGTGAATAAGAACATGGCGTTTCTGTGTTTTCCGGATAGCATTAATTTAAAACAATTTACATTACTGTGGATGCCTTTAATGATGTTTTTTAAGTTTAAAGGAAATGAGTCAGTACTTTTGAGCTTGGTTTCTGTGAAGATGTGAAATTTTAAAAATGACAAACATCTATTCTGGGCAGATTTTACACTATTAAAAATGTAATGTGTTTTCTGTCATGGTTTGAAAGAGTATTATCACATTCTTAATAAAACAAACTGTTAGACATATCTGGAGTTTGATTATTTTTATAGGATTCATTGTTATTTTTCTTATACAGCTTAGAGATTCTTTGCTCAGTATTTTTATGCAAAGAAAGAATTCTGCCAAAAATGCAATTCATCTTAATTCGATCAAGATTTATGTGTTAGAATATCGAGCATTCTGTATGTACATGAATACAAAGCTTTACAGTTGTAATTAAACTTTTATACAAGCAGAACAAGGAGAAAATGGAATTTATCTTACATAGGGAATTGCAGTTTTCCGACTGTAATTATTTCTTCAGTACTTTTTGTTGAGATTAATTTTTTTGGGTTTTGGTGAGTATGTCGATTCCAAGGATCATTAAGGTTGATGTTGAAACATTTATGAGGGTAAATCTAAAATTATTTTTTCATTGATTTTCAATATTGTGTGGTTTAAAAAATATATAGATTTGAAATGTAGAAAGGAACCACTTTGCAGATACAGAAATAGAAGTCTGAGGAACTTAAATGTTTCATGCAATGTCCTTCCTGGAACTATAAGATCCTAGATCTTAACTCCTACTTTCTCCTACATTCCTTTTCTTTATGCTATATTCTTGCCCCTCAAACTGTTGTTGTAAACTACTCTTCTTTTTGAATGGTATTTGGCTTCTTACCCTCTCATGTTAGAACCCTGAATCATTTTCAGTTCTTTTGCCTTTTGAAATGTCTGGCAGATCTTCCTTTTCTCCATTTTTTTCCCCCCACTTCCACCTTAATGACTTTTTGACCATATTCCCTTTTATAATTTATAGAAACTATTATAGAAACTTATAAACTTATAGAAACTATTAAACTAGTAGTTGAAGACATGTTACCTTTTTTTGCACATATTTTCCTGTTTCTGACCCTGTTATAGTTTTCAGTTAGATACTCACATCAGCATATATTTATTATGCATGTACCTTATTCATGGTGTGATGAAGGGCTAGAAAGATGTGAAGATGTATAGAACAACATCTCAAATAATTTGTTGCAAGGAGGTGGGGTTTAATTAACTCTGATTCCTCCAAATTATTTAATTCAGGAGACTAAAGACTGAGAAGTTTAATAATAAAAAAAGTAATAATATATGTATTTTTCTTTTTTCTGTAGGTTCCTGTTGCATGTAAATCATGTCCCTGTGGTTACATATTTATTAGCAGAAAACTCTTAAATGCAAAACACCCAGAGAAATCACCACCTTCTACAGGTGAGTTTTACTACATTTTTAGCTTTCCGATATGTTGGTATTCATTAATTTAATGTTAGCATTGTTTGTTGAAATTGAAAATTAAAATCTCCTGAAGTGTGTGTTTGGTTTTTACTACCTGTTAGAAATCAGTTTATAGCCTGTTCATTCCCTGTAAATGTTAACTACCTTATAATGCTGATAAAGCTTGTAACAAATTTTCTGCTTTTTATTTTTTGAAGGATGGAGAGCCATTAAAAGATTTTTAGCAAGGGGATAACCTGATTTGGTTTTTTTAAAAGTTTAATTAAGATACAGTTGATAGTCAATAAGTTGCACATATTTAAAATGTACAATTTTGAAAGTTTTGTCATACTTACACTAGTAATCACCACAATCAAGATAATGCACATATTCATCATTCCCCCAGATTTTCTAGTTGCCTTTATACTCTCTCCTCTTGACAGCACATTCTACGCAAGCACTGTTCTGCTCTCTGTCACTGTTCTAGAACTTTATGTAAATAGAATCATACATTGTATACTTTTTTTTTTGACCTGGTATTTTTAATGAGCTTAAGTTTCAACCATGTATGCTACTTCGATGCTACAATTTGTTTATCCATTCACTGGTTAATGGATATTTGGGGTTTTTACCTGAAGTGCTGGTAAAAAAAAAAATTTTTTTAAATATTTCAACAGATTATTACTTTTTTTATAAAGATTTATTTATTTATTTATTTATACAAACACTGGGTACAGTCAGAAGCGCGGGAGGGTGAGAGAGTTCACCCGAGCGGGGAACAGAACAGGCAGACTGACGAAATACACTGCTGAGAGGAGCAATACACTGCTGAGAGGAGCGGCAGGAGAGGTCTGTTGCATCATGTGGGGCTCTCACCTGTGGGGGGTGGAGGGGGTGGGGGGATGGATTGAACCGGAGCTGCAGAGGCTGCGGGCAGCTTCGCAGCCCAGCGCTCAACTGCTACGCCACCAGGGGAGGCCCTGCTGGTAAAATTTGTGACTTTAAAGTTTTGCTTTTATTTTTTAAACTAGTGACTAGAAAACTATAACTTAATTTTGCTGTGAATAAAATTTTTAGACATATACAATTTAGACATATCACAATTCTCTGAGTCCCTAAAAAGACAATTTTGTTTGAATTTTAGTTACTTTTCTATGAAAGGAAACAGATTAGATTTATTCAGTGGATCTATTTATAAAGAGATGAGATATTGTTATTCTTTGATAAAATCAGAGCTTCATGTAGTTGTGATCCCCACATGTGATTGATTGACTGATTGCAGATATATATTGAGTATCTGTAGATACTGTTCTAAGGCCTGGGCATAAAATAATGAATGACTCTGTTGTCAAAGCAGGTTCATTACTATCATGGATTTTGCATTCTCATGGGCAGGAGATAGGCAGTAAACAAATAGGAGAATATGAGCTTTTAATAAATGCCTTGTAGGAAGTGCTGTCCTAATGTGTGACTTAAGGCTACTTATGATTAAGTGGTTAGAAGAGGCTTCTCTGAAAGGTCCCATTTAAACTGAAACTGAGTAGGAAGAATGGGCTAGCCATGATAAGATCTGGGAGAACATTCCTGACAGGTGAAACAAACACAAATTTTAATATTGGAAAAAATTTAGTGTAATTTAGAAACATAAAGGCTAATGTGGTTGCAGTATAGATGGTAGGAGCAGGAGAGAAGGGAGATCAGGTCAGAAGAATAGGTCGGGACCAGATTATGCAGGACTTGAGTAACAAGTTTGATTTTTCTGAGGAGAAACCATCCTTGGATGTGGGATGGGGCTGAGGGGAAGGTGGCAAGCTCTGATTTGCTTTTAGAAAGATCATACTGGTTATTCCAAGAGAGTAGTTTGTGGTGGTGCAAGGTAGAAGTGGGCTATTGCAGTAGGTCAACTGTAAGAATGCCAAGTTAGACAAAGAATGGTTATGGCAGTAGATGATTTCAAGAATTATTTCTATCTGTGAGAGGTCTGTTTATCCTATGTCTGTATAGAAGTGGCAAGAAAGTTGTTTAATTCCATTTCTGCCACAGAGTTTGCCTCCCTTCCATCTTGACATGGACTTAATTCATTGATTCTTAAAGACTGTTGTTGGATTGGTTTATAGGAGTCATCTAGAGAGCTTGTTAAAAATGAAATCAGGGTCTTATTTTCTAAGAGTGTTAATTAGTTCTGGGAGCCCTGAATAATTCATTTAGTAGATAATGCTGCAATGGAATGTCAACTCAGTTCTAAAACTTCAAAATGAGTAAGACATGGTCCATGGGACAGGTGTATATATGAATGCATGCATGTATGTATGTATGTATGTATGTATGTATGTATTCATTCAACAAATATTTTTTGAGTCCTTTCTATATACCAGTGATTCAGGTGAGGAAAAAAGGAAACCTAGTGAGGATGGAGAGGAGGGACAGATGCTTTAAGTATTTAAAGAATCAGAGTCATTCGAAGTGCAGGGGAGAATTTAGAATCACTCCAAGATTTCCAACTTGAATTACTGGCTGGAAAGTGAATATGAAAGAGAAGGCAGTTTTGAGAGAAGCATAAAGAAGTTTTAGTTTTGGATATATTTGTGAAATATCCATGTGGATTCTTTCCCCCCAATTGAACATCCAGACTGAAGCTCACAGAGTAGTTTGGCTGGAGATAAAGTTTTTGAATCATCAGCCAATTGATGGTAGTTTGTAGAATAGGAAGAGGAAGGAATGTAAGGACTGAACTCTGCTGAACCTTGAAGCATGGAAGTTGGTAAGCATGTCAGGTGAACTGAAGAGAGAGGTCAGCTGTGAGAAGCAGTTCTCTTTATTTTACTTTTGGAATTTCCTAAGGTTCTGTTGTTGACTAAGAATGGCCTTGTGACCTTAATGTGAAAATGAAACATTGAAGCCTAGAAATCCCAGGGAGGAGAAAGAAGAACCAACAAATGAAACAGATTTGAAAACAAAGATAAATGTACCAAAGGAATTAAGGGTTTTAAGGAAAAACATTAAGAGTATTCAAAGCTTGGAACACAGTGTGGTAGCGTGCAGGCTTGATAGTTGGAAGAAGTAGCATGTATCTGTCACTGTCTAACAAGTTAGTTAACTGCCATGAGCAACTGCTGTTTACTTGTGTGTGAGATTTATAGAACCAACTTTAGAGGACTGAAATACAGATGAAGTACAAATGAAAATTTCTAACAAACTAAATAAATATTTGTATAATTAGATTTCTTTTTTATTATAAGTGATTTTTTTTAAAGAATTTATTTATGCATACAAAAACTGGGGTACAGGCCAGAGGAATGGAGGTTGAAAGGATTCACCAGAGACAGCGGGGAACAGAACAGGCAGATTGACTGAAATACGCTGCTGAGGGGAGCAGTGGGCAAGACAGGAGAAGTCTGCTGTGCCATGTGGGTAGCTCCTTGGCCAGCTCATGCTGCAGAGGCTGCAGGCCCTTAAATTTCTTAGAAGGAAGATTTCTCTCAGATAATTCTGTAATGTATAGGGAATTGAGAATAGTGTAATTTCTTAAATCTCCACAATTTATCAAAAGTTTTAATGTTGTCAATGAGATCTAGAACATTTGAGTTTTATTATTTTTTTTTAAAAGATTTATTTATTTATTTATACAAGCACTGGGTACAGTCAGAAACGCGGGAGGGTGAGAGAATTCACCAGAGTGGGGAACAGAACAGGCAGACTGATGATACACTGCTGAGGGGGGCAGTGGGCGGCAGGAGAGGTCTGCGTGCTATGTGGGACCCTCCTCCGGTGGCCGGGGAGCTGCTGGGGAGCAGCTGGGGATTGAACTGGCGCTGCAGAGGCTGTGGGCAGCTTCCGCAACCCAGCGCTCAGCTGCCCCAAGGGGAGGCCCCCCTACTAGGATTTTCAAGACAACTGCTTATAATAACAAAAACTTGTTAACCATTCCCTTACCATATTAGTTGGGTTCATCTTATAGGGAACAGTATGTGCTAATTAGAAAGAATGATGTACATATTTATGTATTTCCATGGAAAAATCTCTTAATCACTGCTAATTTGAGAAAGAAGTACAACATACCTTTAGCATGAACTCATTTGTTTTTAAGATTCCAAAAATGATCTCTAAATATAATGCTAATAGTAAATACATAAATGGGTAGGTCACTAGATAACAAAGAGAGATCAAGACTTACTTGCGTAATTAAACATTAAAAGAAAAGAACCATTTTTAAAGCTCATAGTTATTATAAAAGAAAAAATTTAAAATATCAGTGAGTTGAAACATCTTTAATTATTGTAACTTTGTGACATGCAGAAAGAAAATAATCTGGTCAGATGGATTTATCTAGGGTTCAGTTGTTCAAAACTCACATTTTTCAGTCATCTCTATATCTTTATAACATACAAAATAGAAATAAAGACATAGGATACTAGAACTACATAGAACTTTGTGTAGCTGAAAAGATAGATGAGTAAACAAAATAGTATGCAAAGTACAGGGCTTTTACGAGTTTAAAATTAATTTTGGTGAGTGGAAGAGATGCCTAACAATTGAAACTGCTTAGTGTTTTGTATGCATACATAGAACCTCATGGCAATTAATTTATGCTTTGACATCTTTCTAGATGAATTAGGTATGTTTTGTTTCTTTTATCCTTTCTGGAAAGTGGGTATTAAATGAAAATACATTTTAAAAAATTAGCTGCCTCATTCATGTAGGATTTCATTTCTAAATGCTAAATTGAATGCTTGACATCATTTAAAAAGTAGCCCTGAGATTGTCTTAAAATGTCACTTTGAAGAAATTTTTTTTTTCTTTTTCACATTTTATTTATTTTATTTTATTTTATTTTTATTTTTTTATTTTTTTTTATTAAATAATAAATTTTATTTTTATATTCCTCCATACAACTGCACATGCCCCATTCTGACCCCAATCCCTCCCCTCCCGGCCCCCACCCCCCAAAAAGTTTCTCTGGTTCATAGTTTATTGTTGATTTTGATTTTCACTTTCTT